ATAAAAAAAAAAATTTTGAATTTACTTACTTGTAGCCAGAGTTAGAGGCGGTCAGATACTTATGACCGCTACTGTATGAGTTTTATAATATCATAAACCTGATAACATATTTTTATTTTAGGTCAGAAGATTTACTTTTCATCTATTTCTTCATCTTTCATAATATATTTGGGTAGCATTAATTGTACAAAGATAAATCAGAAGGTAAGTTTCACATATTCTTTAAAAACTTGACAAAAGAAATAATTAAATTTATTATTATTACTTACTGTATCATCCAATTTATCACTCTTTTTTATTCTTTTTTAAATTCAGAAACTACAAATCAGATATAAAGGTTAGTTTACAATACTTATCTTCATATTTGAAGTCAGATTATGCAAGTTAAATTAGATCATAATAGTAATATATAAAAGTCTAATTTAATTGATTTTAATCTTATTTTTATTTTTTTATTTTTATTATTTTTACTTTTTTTTATTTTTATTTTTTATTTTTTAAAATGGAATCTAAATGAACAGATGAAATTGAATTAACAGTTCCTGAATAAATAAAAGTAAATTTGTTTTATTTTTTAATTATTTATTTTTATTTTTGGAAAACATAATTTAATGTTTCCTATTTTTTTTTAGAAACGGAATCAGATAAATGAACGAAATTGAATAATTAGCCCTTAAATGAATGAACTGGTAAGTTCATTTTTTTATTTTTGGCCTTTTTTTTTTTTAGAAATAGAACTAAATGAATAGTCCTAAATGAATAAACTAGAGATTAATTTATACTAGAGGAAGGGTAATTCACCATTTAGTACAAATTATATCTTGAAAATTGCTATTCTAATATACATAAATTTGAAAAATAAAATCATCCCTTAATGTTAATATTTTCATCAACTAATTCATATAAGTTCTCAAATATGAAATCATTTAAAATCCATCTTCTTCTCTTAGTAAGTTCATTTTTTTCTTTTTATTTTCAGAAAATAGAATTTTAACGTTTCTTTTTTTTTTTTTTTAAAATGAAATTAAATGAATAGCCTATAAACAAATAAATTAATAAGTTTATATTTTTTGTTTACCTTCAGAAACTTAATTAATATTCCTTATTCTTTTTATTTAGGAATCAGAATGAATGGATAAAACTAAATGACTGAGAACTTAAACAAACTATAGTAAGTTCATTCACAAAAATTGATTCTTAATTATTCACTTAATTAAGCTATATATGTGATATGCTAAACCTCTATTTTAAAGTACTTTAATTATTTTTATACATATTTGTAATATAAATAAACTATTATATAATAAATTAATAATATTAATTATATTACATTAATCTATTGTTATTTTGTAATATACTGATATATCAGATTACACTAGAAATCATGCATAATTTAATTGGATCAGTATTAGATAATAAATTTATCAACCAGATTTCTCCTATTTTAACTTTCTCTAATAATTTAAATTTATTAATAAAAAAAAATTAATAAAGTTTAGTATAACTTTTTTATTTTAATTAGTTATTATAAAAATAAAATGTATTTTTTTTTGATAATTTAAAATAATGTAAACAAAAATGAAAATAAAATAACTTTATCTATCTATAATTTTATTTTACTTTTCTATCTATATTTATCATTTATAAATTTAAGCATTTTATTAAATAAAAATAGTTTCTTTTAAAATTTTATCAACTTTATTTATTCTCATATTAAAGTATTTTTTTTTTTTTTAACAAATTTAAAAAAAAAATATCTTAAAACCAAAACCCTTTTATTGATACTCATTCAGAACTTCATGAATTAAATAGTACTTTAGAACAGTTATAAGATAAATATAAATTTGATATTAATTATGATAATAATACTATTTTTAATTATAAAGAAAGTACATTTCCATAGATGATAATAAATCTCATTCAATTTTTACTAACTCTCAAATTGAGGAATTGAAATAAAGATCCATTACATTATGAGGAAAGTGATTTACCTGAAGAATTTAATGATAAACTAATGAAACAAGATGTTAAAGCATTTCAAAAAAAACTTATAACCACTCATTGTTGTTCAAAAGAATGCTTAATTAATAATATCATTGATTATGAAATTGCAACGAAAAAATTCCAATTATTTCAAAAATTAAATAAAAAAGCAACAAAATATGCATTTTTAATAAAAATTTAAATATAATATAACATTGAAAATTAATATATTTTGATGTAATTAACAACACTGGTATTTTCAGATTATATTATTAAAACAGATTAACAAATATTACAATATTAATTATATACTAATAAAATCACTGAAAAAAGTTATCTTGTCTGTTTTATTCTTTTAATTGAAATTTTTATAAGAATTTCTTTCAAATTCCCTAGGTTTATATTTTCGTTTTTTACTCACTTTCACTCGAGGTTCTACAATATTGCGTTCTTCCAAACTAACCATCCTGTCCCTGAATAGATTTCCTTCCGGCTGTTTAAAGATATTTTGTTATATAAGTTATAAATCTTATTAAATTGAAATTATTTTATTTTTAAATAAAATTACATTATACCTTTAATGTTCTTAACGATCCAGACAATTCTTCCTGAAGTTGTATACTAATTGGCAGTTTTTTGACTCTAAAAAAAATAAAATTAAAAAAAATATATATATATATATTTCTGTGAAGATATTGAATGCAATTGCGAATGTTACATACGGATATTTTCCGATCTTTTTCAAAGGCAATTTTGACTTTTCCTCAGCTGCCTTCATCTTTTCAACTTGCTGTTTCTCTCGTTCCGTATGTTCGCGTTCAACGCTTTGAATTATTTCAGAGAGCCTAAAATGTACGTTATAACCAAATTAATTTTGTTATAAACGTCTTTTGAGGAAATAAAATTTTTTAAACTAACTTTACTAATTCCTTTCTGAATTCCTTTTTAGCTTTTTTCTCTTGCTCTTCTTTTAATTTAGCAAAATTTCTCTTTTCTCTATTTCGTTCCGTTCTTGATTTTTTACGTTCATTTTTAACTTGCTTTATGGTCTCTTTACCATTTTCTTCATAATCCTCAACTTCATCTTCTGAAGAATTCCCATCATTCTGATCATTATCTACCGATGATAAAGCTTCAGATAATACGGGGAATTGAGATTGTAGTTTTTGTTTTTGATGTAATTTGACCACTTCTTCCTCATGAGCAATTTTAAGAAGTGCCTTAAATAATGAATGTAAGGAACAATATTAATTGATTATTCTCGTCCATCACAGAGTTTAAAAAATATTAAACCTGATGATCCTCAAATGTTGGATTGTAACTAGCACCTGGATGTGGAACGTGTACAACTGGAATAGTGTCAGGTGGTTTGATATTTATGGTCGGAGGCGGCTTTAAACTAATTAAATTTAGTTTGTTTATTCAATTAACGATTTTAAATTCATTATCAACCCACCTTAACTTTACGTTTCTTTGCGGGATGTAAGTAATTATCGTTATCATCTTGAGATTTAACTTCGGAAATAATCAAAATAAGAAAATAGTATTGGAAATTTTTATTTTAATATTTTATAAATTCCTTACTTTCATCATCCCATACATCATATTCAACAGTCCTCAATAAAGCCTCAGTGGGTATAGAACCTTGAACAACTTCTACAAGATTTTTTGGTTTCGTCATTTTCTCTGATCTAATTTTAGAATTTTTGCCATTTTTATTTTTTTTTGTAGTTTTTGAAATGATTGCAGGAATTTTACTTCTATCCTCCAATATTTGATCAATTTTTAGTTTAGCAAATCTTTTACTGATCTTTCTCTTAACTAATTATTGTAAAAAGTGACATCTCTCATTAATATTGTAAATAAAATTATAATTAAATAATGGTTATCTTTTATACTAACTATTAATGTCACCCGTTGTATCAATTGTGAAGATTTTTTCGTCTGGTAAATCATAAATTCTCCCTCTAAAACAAAACAAAAAAAAAAAAAAATATTAAATGTATGCCTGTTATTTATTTATTTATTTATTTTTAACAAAATACAAACCCAAATGTTCTTTCTTCAGCCCTTATTCCTTCTAATGTTTTTTCTAAGTCCGTAATATTAACATTTTTTCTCCAAGCTTTCTTTCCCTTACGACTTGATTGTGATTTTCTTGTTGGTTTGGTAGAAATTATTGAAGTCATACTGGAGCGAATTATTTCAAAAAAAAAAAAAATATAATAATTTTGACGATCACATTAAGTATTTTTTGAGACGATGATCTCCTGCGGCGAAATTTTGCCGGTGAAAAGCTGTTTTAGATTCATGTTTAATCTTTTCAGAGAATCTTCAGAAAGATTTTGACAATTGCTATCTAAAATATTATTTATATTGGGAAGCTAAACTTGTTGTAATAGGATAATTTGACATATTTAAATTAATTTTTCTTAAAATATTAAAATTGCACTTAAGGAAAATTATTATTTCTTGAATTAACAAAAAAAAAAAAATTATATTGGATTTGAGCTTTTGATCAATATAATTAATATAATTTCAATATACTGAATACAACATCCTTAATATATTTCTCTTTATAATTATCATAAATCATTTAGTATAAATTTGCAATATAATGATCTTATCATTTTAGCATTGACTAATAATAAAGTATTATCAAAAAAGTTTAATAATTAAACTTATATAGTAATTATTCAATATTATAATTATAAAAATTATATTATGTATTGAATTCTTTATCAAAAATCAAAATGAATTCAAATAGTTAATATTATTAAATTTTTAAATAGGTATTTATTACTTATAGTATAATATATTATTAATTACTAGTTGATAATTTATAAGAGAAAAATCTATTATTTAAAAAATTATACTTCTATGATTTTTTAAAACTACTTTTCTTAAATAATATATAAAAGAAATCAATAACTAATATAAATAGATACTTTAATTTAAAAAGGTCAAAATAAAAGACAAAGTAATTAAATTAAAATAACATACTATTTATCTACTTATCAAATTAGCAATTATCAAATAATTATAATAAAAAAATTAGTATTTTAAGTAATCACTTTAGTAATTTAATATATATAATTTAATTTTCAAAGAAAAATTATAAAATTATATACAGTGACTACCAAAAGAAATGCAAGTAGTTATCTTTTAAGTTTAAAAACCTATAACTTATTATACTAGAGTTATAATTTTATATATTTTTTAATCCTTAAATTTTAAAGATTATTTTATATTAGAAAAATTTTTTAATTAAGATTATCAATTTTGCATAAATTATTAATTTATACCAAAAATTTATACTTAATAAAATTTTATTAATACAGTCAACTCTTATTATAACAAACTCTATATCTTAAATCTCAACTTCGCTATAAGGCTATAATGAAGATTTTAAGAGATTTGATTGGCTAATTTGCTATAACACAAGTATTTTTATTATATTTATTCAAAAAATTCATTATATCAAAAGTTCGCTATATCAAGAATTGACTGTAGAAAAAATTTTATTAAGTACAGATTTTTTATATAAATTAATAATTTATGCAAAATTGATATTTTTAATTAAAAAATTTTTCTAATATAAAATAATCTTCAAACTTAAGGATTAAAAAATATATAAAATTATAACTTTAATATTTATAATCAATAAGTTATAGGCTTTTAGACCTAAAAATGATCATTTGCATTTCTTTTAATAGCCACTATATTATTAAATTAAAATTTATTTAGATTTAAAAACTAAAGATAAAAATTAATATAAAAATTATTTTATATTAATATATAATGATATTTTATCAAATTGTTTTTCATTATTTTAAATTTATTTAATCAATTTTAGAAATTTTAACAATTTTATTATAATTCTTACTTTTTATTATAAAATATTTATATATATATATATATTATTTTAAGTATTAAAAATCTTTTTAAAAATATATTTTTAATAATATTTTTTTTAAAAAAATTACATTTATAATAATTATTTTTAAAAATTATATTTTTAATATAATACTTTTAAAAAATATTTTACTAAAGATATAAATATCTTTATTAATAAATGAAACAAATTATATATAACATATTTATTAATTTAAAAAATTAAAAATATTTATACTTTAATATTACTTATTTAAAACTTTAAATTTAATTTAATAAGTTAAGTAATCTGATGAATTAACTCAATAAATTCAAATCAGATTAGATAGGATATCTGATCTAATCTGACCTGACTTGATCCAAATTTTTTAATTAAAAATTCAAAATTTAATATCTCTATTAATATTGATATTTGAGATAAATTACTACTATTTGATTTCTTTTATAAAGATAAATTAAATAAGTTATATTTTATTAATTTTAGATTACTGATTATTAAGATATAATATATTTAATTTTATTATATAAAAATTTTAAAATATATATTATAAATTAATATATAAATATAAGAGAAAATTTAAAAATTACATAATGCATAATTATCACTTTCTAAAATTTTATTTATGTGATTATATATTTTTATTATATTTATAAATTTATATATTATTTAATAAAAAAACTGATCTTTTATATACTATATAACGTATAAATAGAATATTTGTATAATAATACTAATATAAATATTGAAGTAAATTTTGTTATAATAAGAATTTATTTTTCTTAACTATTTTTTATATAAATTACCTTTTTAAAATTGACTTTTATATTTTTAATAGCTTTTTTAAAATGATTTTTATATATATAATTAATAATTTTAAAATGTGAATAAAAAATTGAATAAGGTTAGTTATTTTATCTTATTACTATACTAATATAATTATATTCTATTTTAAATTTCTATTTATAAGGTTTTTTTATTTCAAAAATAGGAATTTCTGAAAAATTTACGACTTCTGATTCAGAAATTGATTTTAATAATATTTTATAACTGAATTCTCTATTACAACTTAAAATTAATTTATTATTAACCTTTATAACTCATATAAGTTATCTTTTATTTCTGATAAAAAATGTTGACTCAATATCTGTAAACTCTTTTTCATAAATTTTGATTTCTTCTTCTACTATTATTTTATTATTTTCTAATTCTACCAATAAAGATTTTTTAATTTTTCTAATAAGATATTTTTAGAGATTTTTCTGATTCTACTAATATAGATTTTTTTTGATTTTATTAATAGTAGTTATTATATGATATTTTAAAATTTAGAATTATCTCTTAAGAATTATTTTGCTTTATGAACAATAGCTAAAAATTATATAAGAGTTTAAAAAGCAAAAGAAATTTATAATTATTAAATATTAAGTTAATTTGACTGAATGAAATATAAAAATAGAATATATATGTAATATTAAAAAGTATAAACCTAATAAAGAGAAATTAATTAAGCTATAATATAATAAAAGATCAAAAAACTGATTGTAAATGGCATGAATTTAAGAATAATGATTTTGTGCATATTATCCTTATATATCCTAATCATAATTATGAATTACTTACTAATAATATAAGATTTGTTATATAATTTTAAAAGTTTGATTACTCTATAATTAAAAAAATTGAATGTATAGTTGCGTATAGTTATTGTAATATTTATACTATATAAAACTTTTACAATTATTATTTTCTAACTAACTTTTTTTCACTTAAAATCTATCAAATACTATTTAAAAAATTAAATATAAAAATTAAATTAATAGATTGGATGTTTCTTATTTATTAAAATTTCTTCTTAAATAATAAAAAAAAAATCTTATAATATTTATATAATCATTAATTAATATAAATATTAAAAAGTATTAGTTAAAAAATTACTAGAAACACTATCATTCATTTATTGATACTTAATTTTTATTACTTAAACTTATTATAGACTATTATAATTACTAAAATCTTCATCAATAATACTATTAGAAATATTTCTTCACTATGAAATTTCTTTATAAAAATCAGAATTTTTTATTATTATAAATACATAATTATTATTATAATTATAACTTTCATATCTCATATCTTGTATCTATCATATTTATATTCTTTTTAATTTTAGCTTAAAAATGAAAAGATTAGTATTATTATAATTATCAAATTTATAATAAAATAATTAATATCTATTAATATAATAAATTTAATATATATTTGTGATTTAAAATATTTGTTAGTATTATTTTTAAAGATGAATATCACAATTAAAAATAACATAATTAAATTGTAACTTATAATACAATTAAATTTTCTTATAGCACAATTAAGTTATAACTCAATTGAAATTTAAAAATAATTATAGAAACTATCTTTAACTATTATAATCATATAGAAAAAGATTTTTAATACTTATAACAAAATATATTTTTTTTAAAAAAAATAAATATAATTAATAAACAGTTATTTAAATTATTTTTTATTTAATATAATATATTAGCAAAAAAGTATTTTTGTCTTTTAAAATTTAGATCACCTTGATTTATTATTTAAACTATTTCAGGATTAAGCTTGAGATAAAATCTTAAAAAAGAAAACCTGTACTAGAAATTATAGTATTTTCTAATATATAGTATTTCTAAATGTAAAATTAATTAACTATATATAAAATATTTTTATTTTTATTTATTTAAAAAATAGATCAATCAACAAATAGATTACATAAAATTACTTAATTCTATATAAAGATAAAAATAATATAAATATTTACAGATTTTAAAATTTCTACTAGCTATTTATAGTAATCTAATCAACAAATTTAATTAATGTTAGGGTAATTACAAAAATATTAGAATTTTCACTTATATTAATATGGTCTAAAAATTAAAATCATTATATAATCAAATAATAAAACTCAATTCAAATATATATTTTATTATTTTTATCATAAAATTCATTCAAATAACAATTTGTATAATTATATATAAAATATACTTTAGGTTTTTGATCTACTATCATTAAATAATATATATAAAATTATAAATAATCATCACTTTTTTAATGATTATAAATCAGAAATCCTATTATAAAATTAACCTTTCTATTTATGTAAAATCAGTTAATTAAAAAAAAAAATTATTTTATTTAAAATCATTTTAATATAATGATAACAAATAATTAGATTATTTGGCCATTTTGAAATAACTTTTAAATGACTTTTAAATAACTATGTCATTTTGATTATTTAAAATA